TCTCTCTCTCTCTCTCTCTCTCTCTCTCTCTCTCTCTCTCTCTCTCTCTCTCTCTCTCTCTCTCTCTCTCTCTCTCTCTCTCTCTCTCTCTCTCTCTCTGCCTATTGTCCGGACTTATCGTTATTACAAGTAATGAATTGCAAAAATTACGGTACAATTGAATCCTATGGGCCGCGAGTCTACTACTACTGATGTACAGCATATCCTATTGTGCGAACCCATAGCGCGTATAGTGTATAATAGGGAAATAAATTTACACTGTTGAATTTTTGCTATACATTCACCATAATTAAGGTAACGGTTAGCGCTAAAATATCTAACAATAATAAACAGATGTTTTCACTCTAGCTGACTATCGCCCATTATGGTATTTTTATGTTTGCCCCCTCATTATAATCTACACTACATTATAGTCTTATTGTGCACTACTATACAGTATACCAATGGTATGCACGATCAGGATGTCTACCCCCGATATTATTGATTAGCCTCCCACTCATTCACATCTCTCTCTCTCCCTCTCTCTCTCTCTCTCTCATACTCTCTATGAAAGGATTGTTTGCAATGAAAAACAAATAACAAAATTTTTTAAATATAAAAATCTTCTCTCTCTCTCTCTCTCTCTCTCTCTCTCTCTGTCAAAAAACCAATCGGTTATATAAATTGAGGCCATTTTTTTGTAAGTCCTGTCAACGATGTAAAACATTTTCTCTAATCGCCAGTTCCTCTGCCTTTTACAGTCAATCCCTTATTATATTCACATAAATGAAAGTGTAATAAAAATTAAATTACATATCAATTAATACGGGTGATAATACTGTACATTGTACAAAATATATGGTAAAACATAATTTTAATAACATGGTAATGCATTATCAATTGGGATCAATAGGTGTTAATAACGAGTATATAATTATTATAAGATTTTTAAATAATTTTATTAGTAATTTTTATGTTTTAACTTTGCATTGATTTCAGTGTAATATTGTGTTGTTATATATTTTTTATTAGTTTTTTGTTGGTAAGAAATCAGTGATAGTTTAATGGCGATGGTGTAGGCGATGGCACAGCCCTATCAGACCCTACCTGTAATTTATTATATGATTTTTATGTATAATTACAAGTATTTTTGTCAAAATATCCAATAAATAAATATTCAAATACTTGACTTAAATTTTGTTACTTTTCATCGGCGGACAAAAAATGGGTTTAGTTTTATAGCAATAATAAAACAGTTTTTGTTTATTAATTATAATATAAATTATTTAAATACTTAACACTTTAATGTGGTTTTATGTATAGAAATAAACGTTATAAATATATTATTTTGCTAATTAATAGCGGATTTATATATGATTTCCCACTCATTATATGGTTTGAAAGGATTGTTTGCAATGAAAAACAAATAACAAAATTTTTTAAATATAAAAATCTATATAATTTTCGGCTCAAAAGATGCCATAAAATTATATTTTTACCATAATTATAGTGCCATTAATACCACACACAACACAGAATATTCTTAATTAAATAACTTGATAATCTCCACTCCCCCATTCACTCTCTCACTCTCTCTCTCTCTCTCTCTCCCGACAGCTGGTCATGGAGTACTGCGGCGCGGGTTCGGTCACCGATCTGGTCAAATGTGAGTTTCCACGACAACCACACAGAATAATGACTTTCGTCCTCCACAGCCACGAAAGGCCAGTCTCTGCGCGAGGAATGGATCGCTTATATCTGTCGCGAGATCCTCAGAGTAAGTTTGCATTATGACGTCATGCTCTCACGTGACTCTCCCGCAGGGCTTGAGCCATCTGCACGCCAATAAGATCATTCACCGCGACATCAAGGGTCAGAACGTGTTGCTGACGGACAACGCGGAGGTGAAGCTCGTGGACTTCGGCGTCAGCGCCCAATTGGACAGAACCATCGGCAGGAGAAACACGTTCATCGGGACGCCGTATTGGATGGCGCCGGAAGTGATCGCGTGCGACGAGAACCCGGACGCCACGTACGACAACCGCTCCGACTTGTGGTCGCTCGGCATCACTGCGCTGGAGATGGCGGAGAACACGCCGCCGCTGTGCGACCTGCACCCCATGCGCGCGCTGTTCCTCATTCCGCGCAATCCGCCGCCGCGACTCAAGTCGAAGAAGTGGTGCAAGAAGTTCCAGTCGTTCATCGAGACGGTGCTCGTGAAGGACTACCAGCAGCGCCCCTACACGGACCAACTGTTGAAACACCCGTTCATCAGAGACCAGCCGACGGAGCGTCACGTGAGGATCCAGTTGAAGGACCACATCGACAGGTGTCGCAAACACAAGAGGGGCGAAATGGACGCGCGCTTCCACAACAACGACGACGACGACGACGAGGACGACAGCAGCGCCGCCAACCACGACGCCTCGCGACACGCGGAGCTCGACTCCACGCTCCGCAGGAACGACGCCACTCTCACCGAACGCAAACCGGGGCCGTCGCGCGACGCGCCGCCGCCACACCCGGCCAACCGGCCGCTGCCCGTTCCGCCCAATCGGGTGATCGTGGTGCCGGATCTGCCGCCGCCGTCGAAGCCGTTGCCGCCCATCCCGGCGGAAGAGAAGCGCCGCAACTCTGGTCTCTTCAAAGTGGCGCAAAGACCCGAGGATTTGGACGTTTTGGTGAACCAGTTGACGGAGTTGGGCGCCAACAACGGTAACCATAACAACGCGGCCAACAAACAGCGGAAACCCAAAACACGACAACAGGAAGCGAAACAGACGCCGCCTCTGCCGCCACCTGTCGTCGACTCGGACGACGACGAAGAGGAGACCGAAGACTCGCGCACTCGCAATGACGGCACGCTCCTGGCGTCGGATCCGCCGCGACCATTGTCAGCACGCGTTGCACTAAACTATTGATGTCTAACACTGTTGTCTTTGCAGAGCCGAGAGCCACGCCCCCAACCGACCGTTGCCGCCGCCGCCAGACGTGTCGCCGCCGACCAAACCGCTGCCGCCGATTCCGCGCGAAGACAGCGACACTCTGGTGCTGCGGAGGGATGTGCCGCGCGCTCTGCCCGACCTGTTGTCGCAACACGTGGAAAAGTCGGACGAAGTGTCGAACCTTTTGTTGCAATACAGACAGAGCTGCGGTCAGACTCCGCCCCTTCTGTCCAACAAACAGCGCTCTTTCCTCACGTTCGGCTTCTCGGCGTCGGGAACGCCGTCGCCGCGGCGCGAGTCGCACGTGAACGTGAACGTGTCGCCCGCTCTGCACGCGGACACGCCAGAGATCCGCAAATACAAGAAGCGCTTCAACTCTGAGATCCTGTGCGCCGCGCTGTGGGGCGTGAACCTCCTGATAGGGACGGAGAGCGGACTGATGCTGCTGGACAGGAGCGGCCAGGGCAAGGTGTACCAGCTCATCTCGCGGCGCCGCTTCCAACAGATGGAAGTGCTGGAGGGACAGAACATCCTGATCACCATCTCGGGCAAGAAGGCGCGCGTGCGCGTCTACTACCTCTCCTGGCTCAAGAGCAAGATCATCAGGACCGACGGCGTGAGTGTTGATCACGTGATTGACGTGTTTGTAACTGTGCTTTCCTCCAGCAAATAGAGAAGCGCGCGGGCTGGATCAACGTGGGCGACCTGCAGGGCGCCATCCACTTCAAGATCGGTAACAATGCTTTCCCTCTCTCTCGCTCTCTCTTTCTAACACTCTGTGGCAATGGCAGTGGTTTGGCTGATTCCGCAACACGTGTCCAAAGACTGGGAGAACACGTTTCGCATCTGGAGCGGAAACGGTCAGTCGCTGCCACTGTCGCTAACCACTCTTCTCACTCTCTCTCTCTCCCTTTCAGTCAAGTACGAGCGCATCAAGTTCCTGGTGATCGCGCTGCGCGACTCGGTGGAGATCTACGCGTGGGCGCCCAAACCCTACCACAAGTTCATGGCCTTCAAGTCGTTCTCCGAGTTGGCGCACAAACCCCTGCTCGTCGACATGACCATCGAGGAGGGGCTGCGTTTGAAAGTCATCTACGGCTCGCAGCACGGCTTCCACGCCGTGGACCTCGACTACGGCTCCGTCTACGACATCTACATCCCGCAACACGTACGCCCTATCAGGCCCTGTCATTGCGCTAACCCCTGTGTCTATTCTTTTAGAGCCAATCGGCGATCACGCCGCACACCATCATCACTCTGCCCAACTCGAAGGGACTGCAACTCCTGCTCTGCTACGACAGTAAGTGTTGTGCTGTGATTGGTCCGCTCTCATTGGTTCTCATTGCAGACGAGGGCGTGTACGTGAACACGTACGGCAAGGTGTCGAAGAACGTGGTGTTGCAATGGGGAGAGATGCCGACGAGCGTGGCCTTCATCGGCACGGGCCAGATCATGGGCTGGGGCAATAAGGCCATCGAGATCCGCGGCGTCGAGACCGGCCATCTGGACGGCGTGTTCATGCATAAGAAGGCGCAGAAACTCAAGTTCCTGTGCGAACGCAACGACAAGGCATGTCTCGCGTCTCTCTGTTCCCCTATTCTCACACTGTCTCTCCGCAGGTGTTCTTCTCGTCGGCCAAAAGCGGCTCTTCGTGTCAGATCTACTTCATGACGCTGAACAAGCCGGGAATGGCCAACTGGTGATGTCACGTGTCATAAGCAACGCTCAAATTTCTTAATTTTGTAAAATAAACTTTCTTTCGCGTAATTTATGGCGTTTTGTGTAAACAAATGATGAAAAAGTGTTTTCGGGTTTGCGTTCGAAACGCGAGTTCTCTTCACAACAATCTGATGGTCGCGCGGCTCGAGTCGTGTCGAGTGCAGGCGAGCGACTCGAGAGGGGAACTCGAGTCGCATTTCGTCGCGCGCCTCGAAGAGCGGTTCGGCTTCTCTGCGCAACAATCGGAGCGCGCGTTCGCTCTGTTCGCCGAGTGCTTCGAATCGAAGGCATCGCTCGACGAGAAGATAGAAGTGATTGCTTCCAACTTCTCGCGCGCAGACGTCGCGCACAACCCGCAGGTGTTTGCCATCCATTGTCTCACTCTTCGCAAGAGAATACAAATCCTCAAAGAGTTGTCTTTCGGCGATCTCTGCGTCTCTTTCGCCGACTCGTGTTTCCGCACTCTTCTGCGCCACTCGTCACGTGATCTGCAGGCCATTGGTCTTCACCCGCGGTCGCCGCCCATTGTGGCCACTTTGTTGCGGATCGCGAAATGCGAACAACAGTTGCGACCACAGATCGAGCGCCACTTCGACGACCGCGACGTCGAGACGACGCCCGTCGACGACATCCGACGACAAGCGGTCGCCAAATACCTGTCGCTTCGTCTGGACGTAGACTTCGATCGCGCGCTGCAATTGGTGGAGACGAAGAGCACGCGACTGCACGCCACGCCCTTCGCCGCCGTCGTGGCCAACACTCACCTCTTGACACGTGACCTCCACTTCTCGCCGCAACAACTGCTGCGAAACGCGTCGCTCTTCACTCTGGACAACGAGAACGCGCGCCGCGTGTTGTCGCGCGTGACGCGTGTTGGCGACGACGCGTTGCGTGACGTCATCGCCAAATACCCGAAACTCTTGTCGACGAAGTGCGCGACTCTGGAGGCGAACCTCGCGCTCCTCGCAGAACACCGCTTCTCTTCGGCGCAGATCTCGCGCGCGCTGCTCGTGCTCTCGCTGTCGACACGCACTCTGCGATCACGTGTTCAAGAGTTGCAGCAAAACCCCGATTTGAAACCGTTTCTCGCCAAAGACCGCGCGCTCCGATTGGCGCTCCAGATGGCGACCACTTTGCGCCGATTGGACGCGCTGCGGTCGGCCGGATTCGCCGGCCTCTCATTGGACCACTTGACCGGAAGCCACGCCTACTTCGAGAGCGTGTTTCTGCGCACCAATAGTCGCGAGATTTCGGTGTTCGCGGCGATAAAGTTGGGCGAAGAGATGACGTCATTGCGCGCGTGTGTCGGCGCGCATCCTCACGAGCGGCGCTTCTGTTGGGAAAACGCGTCCAAAGTTTGGCACTTTCTGAGCGAAGAACAGGCGCTGACGTCATCGCAGCTCAAGAACGGCCTCTTCCTCGTGCTCTACGACTGCGCACTCGTGAGACGCGAGTTCGCCGCTCTTCGCGACCACTTTGGAGCCGAAGAATGGCTTCAATGGAAGCAAAACAACCATTTATTGCAACTTTTGGTGTATTTTATTGAAAAAAAGTACGGCTTTTCGGGAAACGGGGTTTACGTGAGCGTCGATGACGTCATCGCTATTTGAGCTGAAGTTTCGCCGTTTTGTAATCGACGCGCAATTGGATGAAAGACAACAACAACGACCGCTCGAGCGCCACCTGTCGGCGAGCAATAGAGTTAATAAAATCATTAATTAGTTATCACAGTTTATACCTCTTCCATGGCGTGCTTCAGGTTCTCGGGCGCGACAATCAGCAGATTGAAGAGCGCGTGCAGAGCGGCGAACAGTTGCGCCAGAAGCGGGATCTGGAAGCGCGCGATGCAGTCGCGGTACTCGTTGAGGTCGCAAATCGCGGTCATGGCGCCCGCCGTCGAGAACTGGAACTGCTGGAAGTGGTCGAAGAGCGCGCGATGGAAGCGCAGCCCGAGCTCCTGCAGGAAGGCCAACACGTTGTTGCCGTCGAGGGAATCGCGCGCCCTCTGCACGTAGGCGTCGACGAATTTGATGACTTTGACGGAAGCGGCGGTTCGCGACGCCATCACCACTTCTGTCTCGGGCTTGAAGTCCGTCTTCTTCTGCTCCGAAGAGAGGAGCGCGCGAACCCAGCCGACGATGACTGCGAGCGAGCGCTCGAGTCCTGTGTTGAGTCGAAGCTGGAGCTGTTGAGTGATCTCGCGCTTCTTGTTGAGACACTCGCCGTGTTTGGCTGTGTTCGCCACGAGAGGCAGCACTGAGTCGATGAACTGTTTGTCCGCGAGATGACAGATGGCGTTGCATTGACGCGTCACTTCCAGAAAGTGCACTTCCGGCGCGCTCTTCGAGTCGAGCGCGGGGATGGATTGGAGCGCGAGGTCGACGCCGTAGTCGAGGTGTTCGGCGAACAGGAAATGCATCTGCAGCTCGAAGAGGCGCAACGCCGTGGCCGCGATGTCCTGCGGACGGGCGGAGAGCGCGCGACACCTCTGGAGCGCGAGTTTGGTCTCCTGGAGAACAGTGATGGCGACCTCTTCGCACACGAAGCTCTCGTCGGAGGGTTTGGCGCGTTGTTGGAGATCGCGCTTCAGTTCGAAGCCCAGAACCGTGCCGATAGAGGCGTGCGGGCGCTTCTGGTGGTTCTTGGACTCGTAGTAGCGCCGCAACAGCTGCTGACACTTCTCGCGCAGACACTGCGTCTCCACAGCGACGTAGTCCTCGAGATGGCGCGCGAACACGTGGCGCGAGAGGCGCGCGAGGAACGCGGCGTCCATCGCGAGGCTGGCGGCCAATTGTTGCGCGAGAGTTGAGGTGTTGGCGAAGAGTGTGTGGAGTTTGTGGAGATAGCGGTCGTCGCGCGCGTCGCCGAATTGCGCCAACTGTTGGGAAACGCTCTCTTGGAGTCTGCCGTGGAAGATGTTGAGCACGAACTTCGACATCACGTGGTCGGGCGCGGGGAACACGTGACGCACCAGAGTCTCGGTGCGCGCGCACAGAGCGGGGATCTCTTGGAAGACGTGCGCCGACGACGACAGCGACGACACCGACGTCTCGATGAAGGCGTCCACGCATTGCGAGAAGCCCTTGAAGTGCGCGAGAGTGGCCGCGACCTGACGCATGCGCGCCCTGTCGTCCTCGCGTTGCGCGGCAACGAACGCTTCGATCAGCTGTCGCTCAATGGCGTCGTATTTGTCGCCAATGAGACGCCGCGCGACGTCGAAGCGGACGCCGACCGGCAGTTCCGTCGCTATGAGTTGCAGCTTCTGCACGACGTCCGCCGTCGCCTCCAAGTCGTCCATGTCTTCGGCCGCGTCTTCGGTGAGAAAGCGCGCGAACCGCCGGATCAGAGTCTGCGCCTCAACGGCGCGCGCGCGCGGAGTGTTGACGCCCTCCAACTGGTCGCCCAAATACACCACTTTCGCCGACACGGCGCCCAACCGCGCGTCCAGCGCCTCGAAGGCCTGCGCCGAGCGCCGTGTGCTGTCCTGCGCGTGCGCCACACTCAGCCACAGCCGCTTCTCCTCCTCGCGACACACCATCTCCAGACGCTCGGCCTTCTTCTCGTGGGAGTCGAAAATGCACTTCAAGTCCTGAACGCCGCTCTCCAGCGCTTCCCGCAGCGCACGCGCGTCGAAGCAGTCGTAGCGGCCGGCGGTCGAGCGCCAGGCCAGCCTCCTCCCCCCCCTCGCAGAGAAGGGCCGCTTCCTCGCCCTCGACTTGGGCGGCACGAACTTCCGAGTGCTGCTCATAGAGCTGGAGGGCGCCGACTTCAAGATGGACAACCAGATCTTCGCGATCCCGCAGCACGTGATGTTGGGTTCGGGCGAACAGCTGTTCGACCACATCGCCGACTGCTTGGCCGACTTCATGCGCCTGCGCGGTCTCAAGGACGTGAAGCTCCCGCTCGGCTTCACCTTCTCGTTCCCGTGCCGTCAGGAGGGGTTGACGCGCGCGCGCCTCGTGCAGTGGACGAAGGGCTTCGCGTGCAAGGGGGTCGAAGGTCAGGACGTGGTGGAGCTGTTGCGCGCGTCCATTCGGAAGCGCGGCGTCGAGATCGACGTGATGGCCGTCGTCAACGACACCACCGGAACATTGATGTCGTGCGCGCACAAGAACCGCGAGTGCCGTGTGGGCGTGATCGTGGGCACCGGCACCAACGCGTGCTACATGGAGAGCGTGCCCAACGCCGAGCTCTTCGCCGACGAGTTCGCGGCGCCGACAGATGGCGTGATTGTGAACACAGAGTGGGGCGCGTTCGGCGACAACGGCGTCCTTGACTTTGTGCGCACGGATTGGGACGACGAGGTGAACACGTATTCGTTGAACAAAGGCAGACAGCTGTTCGAGAAGATGATCTCCGGCATGTACATGGGTGAGTGTCATTGAGTGCGATCACGTGACACTAACCAGCTGTTCTTTAGGCGAGATGGTGCGCTCGATCGTGGCGTCGCTGACGCGCCAGGGACTGCTGTTCGAGGGGAAGGGCAGCGAGAAGCTGTTCACGCCGCACTGCTTCCAATCGGCGTTCGTGTCGTGGATCGAGAGCGAGCCCAAAGGCGTGTTCATCCAGACGCGCAAAGCCATGGCAGAGATGGACCTGAGCCACGCCTCGGAGGACGACCTCTTCTCCGTGCAGATGATCTGCGAGCGCATCTCTACGCGCGCCGCGCACCTCGTGTCGGCCGCCATCGCCACCGTCCTCAACAAGATGCGCCGCCCGTTCACGGTGGTGGGCGTCGACGGCTCCGTCTACCGCTATCACCCGCACTTCCACGACCTGATGGCCGCGAAGACGGCGGAGTTGACGGATCCCGCGTATCGCTTCGAGATGATGTTGTCGGAGGACGGGTCGGGAAGGGGCGCCGCCCTCGTGGCCGCAGTGGCCGTCAGACAGATGGAGGAGTTGCGCGCCAAAGGATTAATCGATTATTAGATTTATTTTAGATTTATTTTTAGTGTAAATAAGATTTAGAAATAAAATTCAATTTTAACCCAAGAGTTGTATTGCGAGAGAGGGCGCCACCACTCCGGTGGCCTTCACTGCGCGTGACGTCATAGCTGTGCAGTACAAACACAGCAATGACTCGAATAGACGTCTCGCGCCCGCAGTTCGACCAAAGTTTGTCCATTTCCGGCCATTTGCCGCCAATTGATCCCAACTTCTGTTGCAGATGAATACTGGGGTCGCGCGCAGCACTTCTTCGCGACCACGAATCCGCTGAATCTGTTCAAAACGGGCCAACAGTTGGAAGAGTCGCGCGCCGTATTTGCCGCCAATTGATCCCAACTTCTGTTGCAGATGAATACTGGGGTCGCGCGCAGCACTTCTTCGCGACCACGAATCCGCTGAATCTGTTCAAAACGGGCCAACAGTTGGAAGAGTCGCGCGCCGTCGTCGAGAGACTGCGGTTTGAGACCAATCTTGGGATCAATTAAAAGAACTCATTTCTTGTGTTCATTAGAAACGGCGAACAAATCGACGGAATGTCCGAAACGGAGCTCTGGCGCCACAAACAGAGTTCGTGAACACAATCCCTGTCTCTCTCTCTCNTCGTCGAGAGACTGCGGTTTGAGACCAATCTTGGGATCAATTAAAAGAACTCATTTCTTGTGTTCATTAGAAACGGCGAACAAATCGACGGAATGTCCGAAACGGAGCTCTGGCGCCACAAACAGAGTTCGTGAACACAATCCCTGTCTCTCTCTCTCATGTCTCTTCCTCCGCAGTCTACGACTCCGCCTTCCATCCCGAGACCGGACAAAAGATGATCATCTTCGGCCGCATGTCCGCGCAGGTGCCCATGAACATGGCCATCACCGGCTGTGAGTAGTGTTGCGCTGTCACGTGATCGCTGACGACCTTGCTCTGCTTGCAGGCATGCTCACGTACTACAAGTCGAACTCCGCCGCGATCTTCTGGCAATGGTTCAACCAGTCCTTCAACGCCGTCGTCAACTACACCAACCGCAGCGGCAACGCGCCCCTCCCCCTCACGTGAGCCACGCCCCGTGTCTACTGCCCGCCTAACGCCTCTCTCCCGCAGCCAACTGCTGACCGCCTACTCGTTGGCCACTTCCGGCGCTCTCGTCACCGCCCTTTCGCTCAACCACTTGGCCAAGAAGGCGCCGCCGCTCGTCGGCCGCTTCGTCCCATTCCTCGCCGGTGAGCTCTCAGTTATCAGTGATAACGATAATAACGATTGTCTTCTAGTGGCGGCGGCCAATTGCGTCAACATTCCGCTCATGAGGAGCACGTGAGTATTCATAGAGAAAAGAGAACCAAACTAACGAAAGATTCCCGAAGAGAGCTGAAGGACGGTCTCGTGGTTTGCGACGAGAACGGCGTCGAAATCGGCAAATCCAGGATCGCGGCCAAACTCGCCATCGCCCAAGTGGTCGTGTCGCGCATCGCGATGGCGGCGCCCGGAATGACTCTTCCGCCCATTCTGATGAACTCGTTGGAGAAGCGCGGCGTTCTTCGGCGCATGCCGTGGATCGCGGCGCCGCTCCAGGTCGGCCTCTGCGGCCTTTTGTACGAACAATGACCACAACCAATGATCGCCAACACTAACCCCCCTCTCGCCCCCACAGCCTGACGTTCACGACGCCCATGTGTTGCGCGCTGTTCCCGCAGACGGCGAGTGTCGCCCTCTCGCGCCTCGAGCCCGAACTCCAGACCAACACAGCTTTGCACGCGTTTTACAATAAAGGACTTTAGATTTTATTCATCGTCTTTTCTTTTTCGCGTTTCTCCGCTTCGGAACCGCTTCCTGGCGTTTGTCAGCTTTGCACTCGTCGTCGCTCTCTTCCGCTTCTAACGAACTCTTCTCCGAAGAACTCGGGATCCAAATGACGGCCGAAATGCACACCAATTGGAAGATCGCGCCAACAATGAGTCCCAAACGCAGCAATTCGTCCCAAACGTCGGCCATCTTTTTGGGGGCGTTTCCTCTCAGCTCGACGTCATTTATGTACACAAATGTCGTCTCTGTTGTTGGAATTGGAACAGGTATTCACTCTTCGCTCCCAAACACTCCTCTCTGACCCCTCCTCTGCCCGCAGGACCCGTTCGACGGCCACGAGTTCGTGGAACGGCTGGCCTGGCGCTCGACCGCCGGCCGCTACGACTGCTTCGACGCGCGTGCGCTGCGGGAAGCGCTGGAGAGCGGCGTTCAGGACTTGAAGTGCATTTTCGACTCCCACGAGAAGAAGGCCGAGCGTGGCTGGCCTGGCGCTCGACCGCCGGCCTCTACGACTGCTTCGACGCGCGTGCGCTGCGGGAAGCGCTGGAGAGCGGCGTTCAGGACTTGAAGTGCATTTTCGACTCCCACGAGAAGAAGGCCGAGCGGCTGGAGATGGTGTGTCGCGAGGAGGAGAAGCGGCTGTGGCTGAGTGTCGCGCACGCGCAGGACAGCACACGGCGCTCGGCGCAAGCCTTCGAGGCGCTGGACGCGCGGTTGGCGGCGGTGTCGGCGAAAGTGGTGTATTTGGGCGACCAGTTGGAGGGCGTCAACACTCCGCGCGCGCGCGCCGTCGAGGCGCAGACTCTGATCCGGCGGTTCGCGCGCTTTCTCACCGAAGACGCGGCCGAAGACATGGACGACTTGGAGGCGACGGCGGACGTCGTGCAGAAGCTGCAGCTCATTGCGACGGAACTGCCGGTCGGCGCGCGCTTCGACGTCGCGCGGCGTCTCATTGGCGACAAATACGACGCCATTGAGCGACAGCTGATCGAAGCGTTCGTTGCCGCGCAACGCGAGGACGACAGGGCGCGCATGCGTCAGGTCGCGGCCACTCTCGCGCACTTCAAGGGCTTCTCGCAATGCGTGGACGCCTTCATCGAGACGTCGGTGTCGTCGCTGTCGTCGTCGGCGCACGTCTTCCAAGTCGGCGCGCGACTCTTCCAACTGTTGGCCCGTTTTGAACAGATTCAGCGGATTCGTGGTCGCGAAGAAGTGCTGCGCGCGACCCCAGTATTCATCTGCAACAGAAGTTGGGATCAATTGGCGGCAAATCGGCGGAAATGGACAAACTTTGGTCGAACTGCGGGCGCGAGACGTCTATTCGAGTCATTGCTGTGTTTGTACTGCACAGCTATGACGTCACGCGCAGTGAAGGCCACTCGAGTGGTGGCGCCCTCTCTCGCACTCAATACAAGAATTTGGGTTAAAATTGAATTTTATTTCTAAATCTTATTTACACTAAAAATAAATCTAAAATAAATCTAATAATCGATTAATCCTTTGGCGCGCAACTCCTCGATCTGTCTGACGGCCACTGCGGCCACGAGGGCGGCGCCCCTTCCCGACCCGTCCTCCGACAGCATCATCTCGAAGCGATACGCGGGATCCGTCAACTCCGCCGTCTTCGCGGCCATCAGGTCGTGGAAGTGCGGGTGATAGCGGTAGACGGAGCCGTCGACGCCCACAACCGTGAACGGGCGGCGCATCTTGTTGAGGACGGTGGCGATGGCGGCCGACACGAGATGCGCGGCGCGCGTGGAGATGCGCTCGCAGATCATCTGCACGGAGAAGAGGTCGTCCTCGGAGGCGTGGCTCAGGTCCATCTCTGCCATGGCTTTGCGCGTCTGGATGAACACGCCTTTGGGCTCGCTCTCGATCCACGACACGAACGCCGACTGGAAGCAGTGCGGAGTGAACAGCTTCTCGCTGCCCTTCCCCTCGAACAGCAGTCCCTGGCGCGTCAGCGACGCCACGATCGAGCGCACCATCTCGCCTGGACAAAGCACAGTTAGTGTCACGTGACAGCACTCAATGCCACTCACCCATGTACATGCCGGAGATCATCTTCTCGAACAGCTGTCTGCCTTTGTTCAGCGAATACGTGTTCACCTCGTCGTCCCAATCCGTGCGCACGAAGTCAAGGACGCCGTTGTCGCCGAACGCGCCCCACTCTGTGTTCACAATCACGCCATCTGTCGGCGCCGCGAACTCGTCCGCGAAGAGCTCCGCGTTGGGCACGCTCTCCATGTAGCACGCGTTGGTGCCGGTGCCCACGATGACGCCCACGCGACACTCGCGGTTCTTGTGCGCGCACGACATGAGCGTTCCGGTGGTGTCGTTGACGACGGCCATGACGTCGATCTCGACGCCGCGCTTCCGAATGGACGCGCGCAACAGCTCCACCACGTCCTGACCTTCGACCCCCTTACACGCGAAGCCCTTCGTCCACTGCACGAGACGCGCGCGCGTCAGCCCCTCCTGACGGCACGGGAACGAGAAGGTGAAGCCGAGCGGGAGCTTCACGTCCTTGAGACCGCGCAGGCGCATGAAGTCGGCCAAGCAGTCGGCGATGTGGTCGAAGAGCTGTTCGCCCGAACCCAACATCACGTGCTGCGGGATCGCGAAGATCTGGTTGTCCATCTTGAAGTCGGCGCCCTCCAGCTCTATGAGCAGCACTCGGAAGTTCGTGCCGCCCAAGTCGAGGGCGAGGAAGCGGCCCTTCTCTGCGAGGGGGGGGAGGGGGGGTTAGTGGACCACAACAACCAGCACACACTTACCTTTGCCGTTGGGAACGTCGCGCACGAACGTCGGGAACATCTTGACGCTCGCGATGGGATTCGTCTCGCGCTTCAGGCCTTCGTTGAACTCCTGGAGAAGGAGGGCGGACACGCGTTCCAACTGGTCGTTGGAGAGCATGAGCTCGCGAGTGGCCACTTCCACCTGATTGGAGGAATTGGGGTTAAATTGCGTTCAATTTCCGCCGATTTCTACCTTTTTTCGCTTTTCGTTCATTTTGTGACGACTTTTCAGAATAAATGTCAAATGACTCGTGACGTCATTCGCAGTGACGTCACCTCTCACTGCATGTCGTCATCGATGTGAGCAAAGAGTGCGCAGACGCGAGAAGTTGTTTAAAAGTGATTTTATTTGACAACAAAAATGACTAGAATTTGAAATACTTTCAAAAGTTTGACTTTTGGTCCGAAAGACGGCGCTCGAGATCTGCGAGAATGGGAAGCGGTCTTCGCGGCCAATACTGCGCCCTCTTCAGAGCCAACGAAGAGTTCATTAAGAGTTCCATTCGTAATACTAAGGGATACACGTTCTGTTCGATCCATTCTGCGGACAGAAGAGCGGAGAGAGGTGTGAGTGGACGGCGTTTCCGTATTATTCTTACCGAACGCGGTTTCGCGGTGAAAGACTTGCGTCAAGGCGTTGAACGAAGAACGCATCAACGATTGCAGCGAATAGTAGACCGATTGAAAGTCCTGAAGACCTGCGGAACAAAGTGGTTAGTGAGGGGTGTCACGTGACGCGGGGCTAACCTTCGTCCACGCGGTAGGGATTGGAGAGATTGCGTCTGACGTTGTAGAGCGTGAGCCACGCCTTGTGTTCGGTGACGTCATACAAGTAGTCGGTGACGCGCTTCACGACCTGCGCGTGACTCTCGACCAGCCGGAAGACGTCTGCGCCCGCGAACTCACACGCGCTCGCTCTGCGGAACAACTGCGAGTCCGCGTCCAACTCGTCTTCGCTGAGCGCGCGCTGGCCGTCGGGACAGCGCATCACGTGATCGAAGTGTTGGGAGACGTGCGCCGCGTCGAAGCGCCCTCTAGTGATGGCGATGAGCGAGAGGGCAAGCGAAGGGACGGCTGCGGGCAGGAGTTCGCAGAGAGCGGCCAAATGGTCGTAACGCGACCAACCGGTCAGCACGAGGCCGCGGATCTCGGCGAACAGGTGGCGCTGCTCTCTGGCCACGTCCAGCCACGCCATGTTGTTGTCGAGGTGCCACCTGGCGTTCGGCACCGTCAGCGTCTCCCCGAAGGCACCTGAGGTCAATAGGGGGTCAGAGGTCAGGGGTCACAGCACTGGTAAGGCTGACCTTTGAAGGCTGAGGCAAACCACACGCGCGGAAAGAGTTGCGCGAACTGTTGGAATTGTTGCGAAGGAATGAAACGGTAGATGTCTTTGACGTACGACCACAGCATGAGCTCAACGCCGAGCGCCGCCAATCCCGACTCCCGGATCACGTCCACCGACATCTGGCGCAACATGTCGTCCCACACGATCGGGATGACGCCGTGCGCGCGCACCACGTGCTCGGCCACCGCGTGCACTGCAGACAGACAATGAGAAGGGCTGTGATTGGCTGTCAGTGACACTTGCCGTGTTGGAGGAAGAGGCGGTCGCGGTCGCGCTGCCGACACTCTGCGCAGACGCCGAGTTGGAACACTTCGTCGCAGCCGATGTGGAGGAAGCGCGCCTTGGGATGGAGGCGCATCACCTGATTGGCCATCTCGCGCACCAATGGGAGCGACGCGTTGTTGGACGGGCACAGCGCTTGTGGTAATGGCGGCACTTCCCTTAAATGAGCGAACTCCTCCACTTTGAGCGCGAACTCCAAGTGGCCGAACGTCTGCACCAGAGGAATCACTTCCAGGCCGTGTTCGGCCGCCGCGGCCACCAGACGGCGCACCTCCGCCTCCGAGTACGCGTTGAGCGCGCGAACGCCCGCCACGGCGCCCGAGAAGGGGAACTGCGGGGAAGAGAGTGTCACGTGACGCGAGATATGCGTATCTATGGTTACCATGTCTTCATACTCGACGAGAAGCGCGTTCGCGCCCAAAGCGGCCAAAAGCGGGAACAACTGTGGAGAGAGAGAGCGTGAGAGAGGGAGCGTTGTTTACATGGGACTCACGTGGGTGTAGAAGCGCGGCAGCGGTGGCGCCCCCTTCAGGTCCAAGTGCACGACTCGCAGCGCCGGAACGAACGGTCGGTTGTGGTCTGAGAGCGGCGGCGAAGACACGACGCGTTCGGCCAGAAGCGGTCGTCTGTGGATCTGCGGCGGAAAGGGGGTTATTGGGGGCAGAGTTCGGGACAGAGACTCACGTTCGGCGGGAAGTGGTTTGCGTTGAAGTGTTTGACGACCAAAACGAGCGAAAAGACGACAACAGAAAGGATCAAAAAGAAGAGTTTTTTGCGTCGCTTTAAAACGGATTTGAAAACCAAAACAAACGCCATTTTCGTTGCACTCCTCGACCCGTGACGTCATCACTGGTGTTGTGATCGCAATAGTGGTGTGACTGACCAAAGCAGCCAATCAGAGGGCACGACGTCAGGAGACTGGGCTGTGATTGGCTGCATTTGGGAGTGAATCGCACTCTCATTGCATTCGTTTCATTCGCATCGAGAATGTCTTCGCTTTCGGTCGACGTCTCTCTCGCTCTCATAAAAGCGGTATTTGTTTTGAATTGTTTTGAATTGTGTTTCTGATTCTCCTCCAATCACAGGTCGTGTCGTGCTATGACGTCATCACTTACCCCATCTACCTATTGGTGCAGAAGCCGTGGATCCGTCTCAAAGAGTCCTCGCGACCCAAAGCGCGCCCTCTGGACCCGCGCTCGCCGTACAGCGCGTGGACCCGCGTGTCGGCGCAGTCGCCCACCGAAGGCCACTTCATCGAGGAGTGCCGAACGGTGGACGAGCTCTTCTCGCGCGCCGTCCAGCAGTTCGGCGACAAACAGTGCTTCGGTCGTACAGCGCGTGGACCCGCGTGTCGGCGCAGTCGCCCACCGAAGGCCACTTCATCGAGGAGTGCCGAACGGTGGACGAGCTCTTCTCGCGCGCCGTCCAGCAGTTCGGCGACAAACAGTGCTTCGGTTCGCGCGACGTCTTGAGCGAAGAGTTGGAGAAGCAGAAGGACGGCAAGGAGTTCCGCAAACTCCTCCTCAGCGACTACCACTTCCACTCCTACCGCCAGATCGACAAAAGGGTGGACGCCGTGTGCCGCGGCTTCCTCGCGCTCGGCGTGCGGCCGCGCAATAATGTGGTCATCTTCGCCGAGACGCGCCTCGAGTGGATGCTCAGTGCGCAGGCGCTGTTCCGGTTGGGCGCCACTGTCGTGACGCTGTACGCGACGCTGGGCGACGACGCGGTCGTGCACGGCATCAACGAGACGGAAGTGACCATCGTGGTGACCAACTACGACCTCCTGGCCAAACTGTCACGTGTCCACAACCGCCTGCCGCACGTCCGCACCGTGGTGTGGATGGAAGGCGCGCGCCGCCCCGACGCGTTGACAGCCTTTCCCGCGTCGGTGCGCCTGGAAGCGTTCTCGGCGGTGGAAGCGTTGGGCGAGCGCAGTCCCGACCTGCGGGGCGAGAAGGCGCGCGCGGAGGACACGGCTGTTCTGATGTACACGTCGGGGTCGACGGGAATCCCGAAAGCCGTGCAAATCACTCACAAGAACATCCTGCACGCCATCCGCGCCTTCTTCACCATCGCGCACGCGCTCTCGCCCCAAGACGTGTACCTCGGCTACCTGCCCCTCGCGCACGTGCTGGAGCTGGCCGCAGAGCTGTTCTTCTTCTCGGTGGGCATGACTGTGGGCTTCGGCACTCCTCTCACACTCACAGACAAGTCGACGGGCATTAAGAAGCCGCACTTCCCGCTGCGCTGCGAGAACTCCGGCTGGCAGTACTGACGCCACGGCGAGTAAGACCTGTCCTAGTCCTTTCCGTAGGCGCTCGTCCACCTGTCGTCGCCAGCGAAGAGCGCGCGCAAAATCGACTTCACGATTGAATACAAGAAGTTTTGGACGCAAAAAGGCTTCAAAACAGTGAGTGATTGGACAGGATCAGGAAAGGCATCCGCGAGCAGGTGGACAGCAGCGGTCGCTTCTCGCGCGCGTTTTTCGACTTCACGATTGAATACAAGAAGTTTTGGACGCAAAAAGGCTTCAAAACAGTGAGTGATTCCATCACGTGACCTTGTTTACTAATCACACGTTTCCCAACAGCCAATCATCGACTTCCTCGTGTGCCGCAAGATCAGCGCTCTTCTGGGCGGCAGAGTTCGCCTTCTGGCCGTCGGGAGCGCTCCGCTCGCGCCCGAGACGCACGAGTTCATCCGCACGTGTCTCAACGTGTCTCTCCTTCAAGGTCAGCCACAATAACAACACGTGACGCAATGCTAACCCTGATTGCCCTTAGGCTACGGATTGACGGAAACGACGGCTTCGGCCACTTTGATGGAGTTGAACGACCTCTCTGTGGGACGCGTGGGGCCGCCGCTAGAGGGCGTGCAGCTGAAGCTGGTGGACTGGCCGGAGGGCAACTACCGCGTGCAGGACAAACCGCACCCGCGCGGCGAGATCGTGTTGGGCGGCGACTCCATCACCAACGGCTACTACAAGAACGCGGAGCTCACGCGCGAGTCGTATCGTCTGGAGGACGGCGTGCAATGGTTCTACACGGGAGACATCGGCGAGATTCTGGAGGACGGCAGCGTCCGCATCATCGACAGGAAGAAGGATCTCGTGAAGCTCCAGTTCGGCGAATACATCTCTCTCGGAAAGGTAGGGAACAGCTGTGTTGTGCTAATACTGTGCTAATCACGTGACTCGCAGGTGGAGGCGGAGCTCAAGTCGTGTCCGTTCGTGGACAACATCTGTTGCTATGGCAACTCGTTCCACTCCTATCTGATCGCTTTGATTGTTCCCAACGAGAAGCAGATCCGATTGTTGGCGCAGAAACTCGACAAAAACGCGCTCTCCTTCCGCGAGCTGTGCGCAGACGCAGAGGTCGCGCGCCACGTGTTCGCCGCCGTCGACGCCTTTGGGCGGAAATCGCGGCTCCTGAAGAACGAGATGCCGTCGAAGATAAGGTTGTGCGCCGAGGAATGGCTGCCGGACTCTGGTTTGGTGACGGCGGCGCTGAAACTGCGGCGGAAGAACATTCAGGACTTCTATCAACAGGACATCAATCTTCTCTACAAAAACCTGAGTTTCAGGTGAATTACAAATTATTATTATTGTTGTTTTAATAGTATTTGCGTTGACTCTGCGCTGACGTCATCATTCCGTAGAACTGCTGCTGATTAGCGAAGTCCACCTCTGCGAGAGAAACAGCCAATCAGAGGTGCGAACGCAACTTTGAATACTCACTCCCGATGTTCGGCGTGTAAGTGACGCACGCGCTCTTGTAGTTGGCCGGCGGCGGCGGGGAGCGCGACTCGTGGCTGCGTTTGCGGCCGACGTTGGGTTTGGGCGCGAAGGCGGCTTTGAAGGGCTGTTGAGGCGGCGCCCTCTGCGCGAAGAACTGCTGGTTGAAGGGCGGGGCGAAGGGGAGGGGTTGGAGCTGCTGCTCCTGCTGGAAGAGCGCGGCGTCGGTGGTCCACTGGAGGTCGCGGTTGCGCCTGCGCACTCCGTCTTCGTTCAGCACTTTCTTCAACTGCGAGAACAGAATGTGTTTTTGTTGTTTCAGTTCTGAAATGAGAACACAATTAGTCGCGAGCCCTCTCTCCCCCCGACTCACTCTCCACTTTGGACTCGAGCTTCTCGAACTCGAGCCGAATCTCTTTCAAAGACATTTTCATTTCGACGCGTTTCCGCTCTTCCGCGCGCTTCCGCTCCTCCAACGAGATCGAGGTCTCCATTACTCACTCTCCACTTTGGACTCGAGCTTCTCGAACTCGAGCCGAATCTCTTTCAAAGACATTTTCATTTCGACGCGTTTCCGCTCTTCCGCGCGCTTCCGCTCCTCCAACGAGATCGAGGTCTCCATCTCTGCAACAATTAGAGTTACAACAACACAACCAAAGCTCGCGCCAAACCTCTCTTCTTCTTGAGGCGCTGCCGAAGAATGAAACTCTTGAGAAACGTCTTGTCGTTCATTTTGAGCGTTGTTGTGGTCACGTGTGAGCTGTGCTGAGTCTGCGCACAACAGCGCACGAGAAATGAGTCACAGATTGGAGAAGTTCCCGAAAATCCAAGAGTTCCCGCATTTCCACTACAACTGCGTTCGTCTCGTGAGTCCATTGTCTCCATTGTCGCCATTGTCTCCATTCCTCCCCTTCTCTCTCCCCATTCAGAGCGCGCTCTCCATTCACCCCATTGTTGGCGACCAAAGCGACCAAAGCGTCGTCTGTCGTGTCGTCAGTCGTCACAACTCGTGGACAGTGAGTGACTCCCAATCACGTGACTCCCCTCTCACCACTCCTTCCTCCGCAGATCCGCCGATCGCTGCAACAGTTCCGCTCGTTGGACGCGCTTCTGCACGCATGCGTCGTGTCGCGCGACTTCTCGCTGCTGTCGGCGCCTCTCGCGCGCCCCGACGTCGCGCACTATTGCCGCCGTCTGAACGACATTCTCGTGACTTCCGGTTTGAGTTGTGTTTCGGTTTTGAATTGGTTTGAAAGCGACGAAAGCGGAAATCACATTCACTGCGAGGTTTGTCTCAAGAGCTTCAACAACAATCCACTCACTCTCTCTCTCTCTCGCGCAGGAGTCGGAACTCAACTGTCGTTCTGTTGGCGCCGCGTTTGTCGTCAAACACGTGGAGACGTCACGTGACCTCGAGTTCCAAGTGCTCGAGTGTCTGGAGATCGGCGACTT